GCCAACTCGTACAGAAGATGAGAAGAAAAATAAAAGATATTGCAAAAAAACAAAATAGAGGTATCAGAGTGCTATATAATAAGATAGATTGGAAATAAAAGAAATGATAGGATAAAGTGTGTATTAAAATTTATTTGTAGTGCTGGTGAAAATTAATCTGCATGAATAATTTTATAATTTTAGCCAAAAAAAAAAATTAGGAAATTTTTGGAAAAATCATCGGGTTTTTTCAAAAATTGAAACATTTGGTTGGATGTAACGAAATTGGGTCATTTTATTTTCATTCTATTTATTATACTTTCGTTTATAAATTTAAAAGAAATTACAATTCAAATTTTTTGAACTATAAATACTTTTTTATTAATTTGAAACAAAATGTTGAGTAAATGTTGCTTTTGCGTTGGCTTGAGGTGAACAAATAGTTTAAATTTTATTTTTATTTATAATTTTATAATTAAATTTAAATTGAAACTTTTTTTTGAAAGGCCAGCAACTCTTATTTTAGCTTCCCTTGGAACCGTAAGTTTTTATTTATTTTTGTAATCATATTGACAATCATATTAATATCAAACACGATGCCCTTATTTTTTTTTTTAGTTGGGATATTTGTCCAATGCGTATCATTTTTCACTTTTGGCAGAACAATTAGGTTTATTCTATAGTGCTTTATCTACATATTATTTAGGAGCCTCACTTGTTTGTATTGCTGGTATTATTGGAGTAATAAAGGTAATTAATAGATTAAAGGATTTAAATTTCCAAAACAAAAAGTTTTATTTTTTAATCTCATTTTTACAAAATAAATTTCCTACAAATTTTTGTACGTAGAATAAAGTTAATTATGTCAAGGTTTATGCGTATTTTTACTGGTGGCAACTTTTGATAGGATTCTCTTTATCAATATTCTTTTCTATTATTGCATTTTATTATGACAAAGATATTTGTGAAAAACTTGTTGAACAACCTGAAGTTGATATGGATATGGATGCTTGTATGGATTGGTATATTAAATCAGCTGTCACTATGGTTATTAGTCTAGGAATATCTTGTCTTATTGATGTAAGTTTATTATTATTTTTTAATTTAATATATTTAATATAGGAAAGAGCTAATAATTTATATATTTTTGGAAATATACATAGCTTCATTTCTGTTTGGCAGTATGGGCTTATTATCAAAAACTTAAGATGGAAGAAAAACAGAGTGAAATTCCCAACCCTGATTATGTTGTTTATTATACTCCTGTTCCAGCTTATGCTGTCTCCCCACCACCAGCATACGATTCAGTCGCTTCATCTCAAATTGACGGAAAAACTAACGTAAATAATAACACTGATCAAAAGTCTACCACTACTGTTAATGTTGTTGAATCAGATGGTGAACCAAAGAAATAAAAGTTTTTTATAATACTTTTGAATAGTCTTTTATGTTCTTTTATATATATATATTCAATATTTAAACGGTTTTGTCTTTAAGACTTAAATATTTCTCTTAAAACTAATATATTTCTATAAATTTTATTTTTGTTGTTCTAATAATAAATCAGAACGTGTTTTAATTTTTATTAAATTTTCATAAATTACCATTTTGAAAATGATAATTATCATCAGCCCCATCATTCCAATTTATATATATATATATATATATATATATATATATACAGTGCTTGGACAGAAGAATCGGACACCTAG